GCCCGATCCAGACCAAGGCCCAATTTCTCGGCGAGGTGAACGACGAAGTCTGGGAAGTGCGGTTGGTGCACTCCCTTCCCTTCGAAGTGAATCGGGCGCAAACGAAAGTCCTCGACGAGATAGTCGAGCTGGAGGTGCAGCGACAAGGCATTCAATGAGTAGTCCGCGTCAGCGACCCCGAGGAGAACCCATGACAAGTAGTGAAGCGAGGGGGCAAAGCCCTCCGCGTGACCTGCGAGACGGGAAAGAACGAGATGAGGCAATGAGACGGGCTAGTGTTCCTGGCCCGAGGCGACAATCACGAGAGGAGCTGACCAGAGCTGAGACAAGTGTCGGTCCTGTTTCACATCACCAAAAAGAACGGGTAGCTATGAAGGAAATGGGACATGCGCATGCTGTACATTCAGGAATGAAGCTAAGCCAAGATGCGAATCGAAGTGATGTGAAGAGTATCTCGCACGAGAAGAAACCTGACAGGGACGTTGGGAAGAGATTGACAACTTCGAAAATGGGAGAAAGCGTTGAAGCGTCGCAAAAGGATGTCAAAGTTGTACCGGGAGGTGACGACAAGGGAAAATCCGAAGTGAAAGGCAACGAAACAGTCGTACATGGCTCCAAGACTGAAAGTTCAAAGGAGTCTGTTAAGTCGACAGGAGAAGAAGGCCGAAGTGTTTCCACAGAAGCAAAGAATGAGGAAAAAAGGACGGTAGCGAAGGGAAGGAGTCGGTTTAGCGCACAAAAGAATGAGACGGAATTGCGAGGGTCTGGACGACTTGGTGAATCTGCAACTGCAATTGCGAACGCAAGTGAAGGAAAAGACGGGCAGAGAGATGGAGGTCGTGACGCGGTGCAGGATGCGGGGGTGACATCCAAGCAGCAGCAAAAAGGCAACGGTCCCCACGTCAGTTCGAATTCACGCAGCGGAGCAGATGTGAACTCTCAAAGCAAGATGGATGTAAAGGCAAACGGTGGTGGGGGCTCAGGGCAGGCAGAGAACTTTACGAGCATCAAATCTGTTCAACATGACGGTGGCAGGCCGCATGGGCACGTTGGGTTGGGTGGCAGAATGGAGAGGAACAAGAGCTCTGGAAGATTTGGTTTCCAAGGGTCTGGTAGAATGCAGAATGCTACACACGAGAAATGGAAAAGGATTGATGGCCCAAAGAGCCGAAACGATGAAGCACGCCGAGCAGTGTTTAGTGGAGGTGGGCCTAGCGGCCCTACAAAGGGAATTGGACCAAGCAAGCCCACGAAAGCAGGTAACGAGAGTGGAATGGAGAAAGTAGAAGGTTTGGGATGGCGAGCACAGAAGGATGCGGGATCAATGGAAAAGGGTGGAATGTTGAAGGCAGACAAGATGGCCGGCCACGATGGAGGAAGGAACAGCCGAGGTTTTCCGGGACCGGGGTTGGACGAGCAACGGCGGGGCATGGCGAGGTCCAGCAGCAGCGGGTGGCGAAAAGAGCGGGACGGCAAGTCCTCACACGAAGACGTGCGAGAAAGCAAGGGTGGTGGGTGTCGAGAAGGTGCAGGAGCATCGGAAAAGGAGAAATCTGTGATGAAGCGAATTGGACGTCGGCCGGACGGGGCAGCGGACGGTGTCAGCGAAGCGCCCCGTGGGCTGGACATTGCGCGGCGCATCGGCGGGAAGGTAGCGTCTCGGCACGGGGACGAGGGCTACGAGAAGCGGCGTCGGTCTGAAAATTGGCATGAGCCTGGTCGCAAGCGGTTCCGTCGCGACGACGCAACAAGCCCGCGGCGGGACGCGGCGCAGCGGCGGCGCTCCATGGAGGCGTCTGGGGCACGGCCGGCGAAGCGCGGCCACAGTGAACGGTGGGAGCCCGAGCATAGGCACGCGCCGAGGGGTGGGGACAAGCTCAAGGCCAAGCCCATGTTTGTGAAGGAGGCCGAGGCGAGAGCACCAAAGGCGAAGAAGACGGACTTGAGAAGGCTGATCAGGAAGAGGTAGAGGACTTAACTGGGACGGGTTTTTTTTTAACATACTAAAGATTTACTGAAAGAGAGGAGGAGGAGTTTTTATATATAGAATTGTGCTTTCGTTAAAGAGCGGCGGCTTATTTATGTAGTCGAGTGAATTTGTTTGCAGTTGAGAGTGGAAACACAGGCACGTCTGCAAAGGGAGGCGCGACGCTCAAGTGGGTATTCGTGAAGGAGGCGAACGCGAGCGCAGGCAGACCAGAAGAAGACGGAGTTGAGACGGGTGATGAGGGAGAGATAGCGAGATTTTTTAACTGAAGGGGGGTTAACAGGCAAGGATATGTATTTATTACACTTTCGCGCACTGTACGGTGTTGTACTAAACGTTTACTGGCGGGGGGTTAGGCGGAGTGTGTTTTATAGATGCGGGGATTTTTGTTGAAGAGGCAGCTACTCGAATGAATGAGTTAGCAGTTGGTCTAAAAAGATGTTTCGACTAAACAGTCGGAGGAGGTTAGTCGGAGGAGGTGCCAATTGTGCGTACAGTAGAACGATGACGTTTGTACTGTACCGACCGGACTGTACCGACCGGACTGTACCGACCGGACTGTACAGCGACTTCGGTGAATTTTGTCCGGTACAGAAACGACTTGTCCTGTCCTGTCCTGT